ATACCCGAGTGATACCATGGCCTGAGTAAACCTTCCAAACCATGTCCAGGGTGATTGCTTGAGCCTGTATAGGACCTTCTTCAATCTGCAAACCATATTTCTCCCTGAAGTAGGGGCATACCCTGGCGGAATCTCCATATATACCTTTTCTTCTAAATCTCAATGCAAGAAAGCGTTTTTTACATCGAACTGTAACTCCCAATAAAAGTGGGCTGCTAAGGATAAAACGATCCTTACTGTATTCATTTTTGCTACAGGAGCAAATGTATCTTCATAATCAATCCCATAAGTCTAGGTGAAACCCTTTGCTACTAACCTTGCCTTATACATGTCAAGTGTACCATCAGCCTACTGTTTTTTTTTGTTTTTTTTTCAACCATCTCCCAAATTTTATTCTTTTCTAGTGCATGCACCTCTTCATTCATGGCTTGAATCCAATTATTATCTTTTAAAGCTTCTTGTACTGATGCAGGGACTCTAATAGAGTCAATAGCTGAAAGAAAACTCTGGTGTTGGGCAGACAGATTTTTAGCACACACAAATTGAGATATAGGGTACTTGGTGCAAGATCGTTTTTTCTTTCTCAGCGCAATGGGCAGGTCATCGGGATTTGTCTCTAATATTTATTAGGCTCGGATTTAGGAGCACTTAAACACGAATTATTAGGATCAGGGTTGTGAGTACTTACCTCGGAGTCAGACAATTGGACTTGCTGATGGATTAGGATGGGTTTAGCTTTCCGTTGGTACTTTATATGGTACCTGTCATCATTATTGTTCACTGGTATTTGTGCAGAACCATTATAAGTAGCTTCACTGTCCTTAGGGGCAGAATAGGAAGTGAATTCAAGGGTTCATTTATTAAAGGAAGAATAGAAATTTCAGGGGACTCAACTTCTTGTTTACTCTCCCCCTGAACTTGAGAATTAGGATAAAAAGATTCGGTTTTCAGAAAAGTGACATGCATGGATATATAAACACGGCGACTAGAAGGATGATAACACTCATATTCCTTTTTATTTGGTGCATTTCCTATTAAGATACATTTAAGAGCCTTGGGTTCTAACTTACTTCGATGAGGACCATGGACGTGAACAATGCTCAACAAAAAACACGACCCTGGAAACTTGACATAGTGGGCACTGATGGAAATAAATTATTTATAAAATGCAATGTTCTAATAAGGCATTGGGCGCTAGTCGGGCGCCAGCCTAGCGCCTAGGCGGACGCCTAGGCGGGGACTAGTCGGAGACATAGAAATTATAGTTTTATCAATATTTTGCATAAATATGATGACTAATGTTGTGTTTGTGGTTGTAAAAAAATACACACACATACACATGAACATGCATGAGTTATAGAGTTGTCAGTTATCACCTAAATACCTAGTTGATATAATCTTTAAACGAATAAAGGACAATGCTATATCATTCAAATAAACTCCCGTCGTTCAATACATACTTAAACAATTCACACAATGCCAAATAATGGTGTAAGAAAAAGAACAAATAGCAAGTAAGTTTGAATCTGACTCTTTATTTCAGTTGAAATTGACTGATTAACTTCGACTCCTTATAACGTTTCCATTTGGTCAAACTATTAACACAATCTTGAAATCATATTGTATTGGAAAATTGATAACTGATAGCGTAATATCCTCAAAATCCTCTTAATGATGCAACACATTGATTAAATGATGGACTTGATTTATTTATAAGTTTGAATTTGTCTCCATACTTTTGCTTCTCCAGACGTTTTAGTTTCGTAAAATCCTTGGTGAAAATAAACTTGATTTCTATTTGTAGTAATGAAAAAGGTACATTTTATCCGTGCACGGATCCCCAAAATATGTGCCAACGTAGTTTTATATATGAGCTATTCGGCACATAGTCGTAGCAAAAACACACTCCAAGCATTCACACACTAAGAAACGCTTATAACTACTATGGCATTTCCTTAAAGAACACTTAACATATCAGTCTAAACAATTGGGTTATACGAAGAACCTACGTCTGATCATACTTAGAATTTTAGACTTGCTAGAATGCTAGGCGCTAAATTAAGTGAGTCCCATTTAGCGCATTTGCAAAAGAGGTTATTTTAAAGATTACCTTTTTATCCAAGACAAGCCACTCATTAGTTGAATCATCATGAACAGTCCCTCCCATAACTAAATTTGTGGTTTGTCCAACCCTTCTACCTTTGACACTTCTGCGACCCATCAATACTCAGTCTACATTCATGAAAAGAACATATTGAAAATATTCAAACAACAGAGAGATAAAACAAAAACTATAAATACCAAATTAAAAGGGAGTGGACGGAAGCCCAGGGAAGGGGTGATATCTACTTTATAATGTATTCAGCCCAGGGAAGGGGTGATATCTACTTTTTAATATATTCATACATTAAATAGTTGAACAAGAATGAAGATGAAAAATTATATAGAAATACTTGATCTAAGTTATCTAACTAAACATATTGTTGATCCTAGTCTACTAAATATAGAAAAATTAGTAACACAAAAATAAATCATCCCCTCACTCCACCTCCAAAATTCCAAAGCCAAATTCACCAATCCATGTTTACCCCCTCAATGGTTTACCTCAGGCAATCAAATATATTTCTCTAGGGGTCGATTTAGAACTCGGACAAAGATAGAGAAAGAAATAGATAGGAAATTGAATAGAAACGGTAGAAGGCAAAAAATATGAGAGAGTAAAAAGTTGCTTCAAAGTTAAAACTCTAAATATGCTAGAGATATTTGTTCAAGCTCATTTTATTTAGATATTTCTAGTATATAAAGACTAAGAAAGCTACATATATACAAAATTATAAACTTATAAAGAACCTTACAGAGTATTAAAATTTAAACTTTCCTTTGAATTTTACAGGTAAAACAAAACATTAGGTCAAATTTAGCTGTCAATTTTAGTGTTTTTTTTGTTTTATGATTTTGAAAGGTTTATGTTGTATTTTGTATAATGAACTAAATAAATCATACATGTTCTATAATTTCAAAACTTTTTTTTAGTTTCCCAAAAATGAACACAAGAATATCACAAAAGACACTGGTAAGTCCTAGGAAATTATTTCATTGTTACCATTTTTCCTTTCACTGCCATTCTCCAAAATCCAACCATAGAAGATTTGTTACTTAAATTCCATTTGTTTAATATTCAGTGCTGTTTTGGTTTTTGGATTTGAAATAATTGTTCCACAAATAACTCATTTGGTAAATTCAAGAGATCATGTAATGCCAACTTTAAACTTTTTCCGCCTCTTCACAATTCAAAATTCAACCAATAATAGTTTAAGTATAACATCACTCTTTTTGCAAGGTTACAGACCAATAAGGTCATCTAATCAGTCTTTGTCCAAGTGTATAATCATTACAATTGGCACAAAATTAATTACTATGAAAACGGATGAATTATGCAGCTAATTGCAAGCACATTGATAAGTGAATGAGGGAGTCCAGAAAGTTCAGGGAATGGTAAGTGTTTCTCAAACTTTACTCCAATTTGTCCCGCCATGTCTCCTCAGCCTCCTCCAATTGGGGTAAATTTAAGAAATCTTTTACCATTCTCAGATTTTCTTACCCTGAACATATATCATTATCCTAATTACGATCATTGCCAATCATCTTTTTCCATATTTCTGATTTTCACCTAAAGAGAGCTCGGGACTTTATTGCTCAATATAATGAGCCGATTCACCTAAAGACACTGGAAATCAGATAAAGAACAATTGAATTAAGACTAAAATTGAACCTGAAATTGCCTTGAGAACAGCTTCTTGCGGGGGATTCGGATTGCAGTCATCCTGTAATGAAGAGCGGACTTCGTTAGCGGAGTAGTTGAGATTATGGGTCATAAAGAATAGGAGATCGTTTCGGGCCACGGGCCGAGTGTTGATTCCGACCCGGGAAGAATGAAGGAGAGAGGGATCGGTTTCGAGGGAAGGGTCGCCATCGACATCGGGTTTGCAGCAAAAGTGACTATTCCTGATAATATAAACATTCGTTTTTGAAGTTTGAATATTATCGAGATGTGATTCTTTTGGCAAAATCAATGGTTCCTCTAATTTCTGGGAGAAAATTGCCGCATGTAGGATCAAATCATACTACTTTTACAAAATATGACTGCCTATTTTGAAAAACTCAATTATTAGTTTCCAAATTTGCTCCTTCAGGCTTCAGCTAATTACGCAAGGAAAATAACTTACACGCTAAGAATAACGACTTGAACATTCTGTTCACCTGCTTTCCTTCTTCCGAATAACGGTCATGGTGCTTTCATTCTTCTGAATTGTGTTGTCGGTGTCTTGCTTTCGTTCTTCATTCACGTTCGTCACCCCTTGAAGTTGAATTGGACTTCGAACTACCGCATAAGCTCTACAAATGCCGGCGAATTCCACATACGGAATAATAATTGAATTTCTCTTCTAGCATTCATCTTCAAAAATATGGTGAGTTGTTATCGATGAAATTTTTACAGTTTCATTCCAATCTTGATTATAAACGAAAATTGTTTATACTAAGGTCCTCAAATTTTCAATATGAAGACCTTCTCTCTATTCTTCCCATGGTACACTTATTTTAATTGTATACCTGCCTTTTGTATTTTCCTCTTTTCTTTGTTCAATTAGTCTGGATATGATATTTAATTAAATGATTGTGGATTCTACATCTATAAGATCACTCTTGCTTAGTTCATACACTATGTAATGAATGTATTTGTTCTGTTATTTCGTTTTTGTTGCACAGGTGTTCATTTTTGACTAGTTAATTACAACTCGTTTTTGTTTCTGTTTTGCCTAGTTCATACACTATACAATTTGTTTCTGTTTTTAGTAGTTCATACACTATACAATTGGAGATATTATGTTTGTTATTTGCAGTTTTTAATATCACATTTATTAATATTAGTTTATTAGTCATTTTTTTATGTTGCTAATATCATATTGTTGTTTCTCCTTTTATGTATTTACAGTGATGGTAAACATGTTGCTTATGCTTAAGGCGGATGGTAGTTGGGACAACTCATACCTTTTCTCTAACAAACGATGTTTTGGCTTAATAGTACCTGAGGGGACATTATATAATGACTTTACTTCTATGGTTTATTCATGCATTGATGAATCTGTTACCAATACAAGGCTTAAGATTCCATACCTTGTAGATGCATGTCCACCTCCTATGCTTGTTAATGACGATTCTAGCTTGGGATTTTACTTGGTTTTAAAAAAAATGACAGTGTCTATGATAAGTTTCCTTTGTGTATTGAATTGTTTATTGTTAATTCTTGTGTTAATCAACCAATGTCATGTAGGGATTCTGCATTTGTTGTCAATGTTTCTTCCAAGTCACTAACGATTAATGTCCTACAACAAGACATGTCTGCCAATTTTCTTTCAATTGATCTCAATGTAGCTGCCTGCCAATTTTCTTTCAATTGATCTCAATGTAGCTGCCACTGCTTCACTTGATCTCAATGTTTCTACTGATTTTAATCAGTCCATGACTTTGGAAGTTACACATCCATCTTCTAATGAAGTCTCAGTTTCAGGTTGTCCTTTTGATCTTTTAAAACGTGATTTAATAGTTTCTAGGAGTTCTGGTGATACTTCATCAAGTTAAGTTGTTAGTTAGGATTCAATGGTCATTTGGATTCATTTTTCGTGGTTCCTGATTTTGAAGTTATTTCTCACTTCCATCCAACTCATATAGCCAGAGATGCCATATACAAAACTAAAAAGGCTTTAGATTACCATTTAAAGGGTTTTTGCCATTTCAAACCATTTTCAATATAAGAACAAAACGTCAACCAAGAAAGTATTGCATGTTATTTGTGTTGATGTTGAGAAATGCAAGTGGGCTGTTCGTGGAGTGAAATTGTCTGGAAGTAACATGTTCCAAATTAAAAGGTATTTGTTTTATGTGTTTGTATTTTTTCTTTATGGACTAGTTATTGTCTACTTATTGTCTATTTAATGTCATTTAATATATTGCAGGTTCGACTCTGATCATACATGTTCCATTGATTTTAGGCAAGGTCGACATCGTCAAGCCACATCTGATGTTATTGTAGAGCTTATTAAACACCGATATGCAGATGCATCTCGAAAATCGTATGCTCCTATTGACATTATTGTGGACATGAACAGAGATTATGGTGTGACGCTTCCTTACAAAAAAACATGGAATGCGAATAAAAAGGCTCAAAAAATTAATGGGGTCAGATTATGGCGCATGTTCTGGAACAAAAAAAAATCATGCTCAAAGATCTCACTTATTATTGATTATCATGATCATTTTAAGTATTTCTTCATGTCATTGCACCCATGATTTGAAGGCTGGAAACATTGTGTCCCAGTCATTATTATTGATGGTTCTTTCATGAAGTGTTATTATAAAGGCACCTTATTAACTGCATGCGCTCAGGACGCTAATGACCATATATTCCCGTTGGCGTTTGGTTTGTGTGACACTGAACTTCAACTTGTTTTGATGTATTAGTTTGGTCGAACCATTGACGAGATCTTAAAATCATAATCTTGTACTATCTTGGTAGTCCTTCTAATGTGTCAGTATAACACGTACTATAACATATTTGGTGTGTAGCATATAATGGGCACGCAACTATTTTTTACCCGAAGAAGTATGATGTCGAACCATAGAGAAGCGGGAAGTAAAATAGTTAAGCACAAACTAAGGATTAAATTTGAGAATGTGTGTTTTTTTTTTTTTTTGGAAAAGTAATGAAATAAAAGTGATTGTGATAAGAGAGTTTTATCAACACAAAGCTCAACCAATAGAAAGTAGGGGTAGAAATTGGTAACTAATTGTTCAATGCTCAATTGAAAGACATAATTGCTAACTTTATTCTTAGATAGATTGTGAGGAGCTGTAGATATATATTTTAGGACGCAACACAGGTCATCTAAAATAAGTAACTAGTCAACATTTTCCGGTGATTGCCGAAACGAGACTAGTTGTTTAAGTGCAACGACGACCTTAATTATTAAATATATTGTTTACCCAACCCCGTGGTTTAAATAATATAAGTAAATAATTAAATTCTTCCGTAAAACTTCAATCTGGAACAAGGTAAAAGAAGTTTAATGGTGTGTTCAGAAAGTGTTCATTTGTGTATTTAACAAACAATATGTTTACGATTGAGTATTCATAATATATATATATATATATCACAAACACAACATAATTAATTTTCTGGACAAAACAATCTAAATAGAACAAACTTAACAATTAAAATCAATGCAAATTAAAACATGATAAGAACAATTAATTAACCAATTTCCAGCCCCAATTTTATTTAGTTATACATGTTTGGAAGCATAGAAATAGATGAATCCACGATTAAAGTACAAGATTTAATGAGATAAGGAAGATCAAACTTGTGATAGATGAATTGGCAAGAGCAAATTGGCGAGCGCAAGAAGGATGGGGTTTTCAGACGAATTTTCCGGGGGTTGAAATTCACTTTTACCATGCTACAGCAACTCGCCCTCCTCCGGGACCACCTTCGTGCGAGGTAGCAATTTGGGGAACGTTTTTATTCTCGTATTATTTTTCCTCTCGCAGTACTTAAATTATTGTTATTTCAATTCGAGCAAATATGGTTGGAGCATTTTGATTTTCGAAGAACTTTTGATGGGCAATATTTAATTTTCGGTCGTTTTAGGCTTCTTCTTGTCAGTTTTGTGTCTAGCGAGTCAGGTTGCTTTGTATGAGTGGCTGACTCTAAGTCTATTCCTAAGGGTTATGATCAGATCTGTAATTTTGGATTTTGTCTTGCATGTTTGCTCTATATTAATGAAAAGCCGTTTTGATGATAAAAAAAAACTTGTGATAGATGACAATATTTGGAGCTTTAGTGCTAATCTTGACTTAATCTTGGATAAGGAAGTGATTAGTTGTGGTTGAAGATGGGTTGATGATTTGGGGTTGAGAAATGAAGTGAGAAGGAGGAAATGTTTTTAAGATGTGTAAAGAGATAATGGTTTAAAGTTATTATGTGGAGAAGGATTAAGGCAATATAATGATAAGGTGATAAGGATTAAGGATTAGACTTTGCGAGGTTGCGTAAGTGATGGTTTATATACTAAGGGTTGGTTTGCAACTGCTTTTAAAAAGCACTTCTCAGCTTCTGGCTTTTAAAAAGCACTTATTTTCCCAAACACTACAACTTTTATTTTTCTCGGCTTCCGCGTCAAAAGTGCTTTTACTTTTTCTATTACACAAAAGCACTTATTTTACCAAACACTACCCACTTTTACTTTTCAAAATCACTTTTTTCTCAAACACTATCAACTTTTATTTAATCACTTCTCCCCATTTCATTTAAAAAAATACTTTTTTAAAAGTAGAAGCTGTTGCAAACAGACCCTAAGAGGCGTAACAAAATGCTAACGAGTGAGTTTGTTGTTGCGGGAATTGGTATTCTGGGCATTCGAAAAACGATTAAGGATTACCCAACCCCGTGGCATTCTGTTGCTAACGAGTGGGTTCGATCCCGTTCCCTATACTTTTTTCTCTCATTTTATCCTTCTGCAGTGAGAAGTAATGAATACAAAATTCCAGTATAAACATTCAACTTGACACATTGGCTCATTTCAAACATCATCTTCACCACATGTTCATGGTTCGAATCCCATCACCCTCTTATTCACATTTTGCTTATTTTCTTCAATTTACTCCTTATTTGTATTGAAGGAAATTCCATTTTAATTGACTTCCAATTTGAACTTTTATTTTCTTCTTTTCTTTATGCACAAATGATCAAAATAGCATCAAAAGTATTTGAAAATACAAAATACCCATGTAGGACTGCACAAGTACAAACTTACGACAAATAATAAAAATATGTACAAAAGTAGAACTTTAATATATAACTAAAATTCAAAAACAAACTAAGCCTAAAAAACTTGTAAAATACAAGCACATCAATATCGAATGGTAAACACTTTTTATTAGGTCTAGTATTTGCTTATTAGTGGTATCAATTTTGGCACGAATCTTTATCAAAGATTTTGTACGAACTATATGTATCTAAAAACGTATTTGGTAGAGAAAATTATTTTTTAGTGGTATCATTTTGGCACGAACTTCACACGGTTTTGGCACGGGTTTGATAGTAAACATCATTTAAGAAAATTACCTACTAAAGAATTTTATACTTGTGTTGCAACAAAAAAAAAGAATAGTATACTTGTATATTAAATACGAAGTATATTATGACCTAAATATCTAATCGATAGCATCTTTGAACGAATAATTTTTATTCGTTCAATCGGGTCTTTTTTATATGATGTTTTTACTGATGATAAGTTCTAAACAAGACTAATACAAAAATACAAATGCATCTATTCAAATGCCATCATTGTTGTTTATTTATCAAAAAATACACTTTGACTTAACAATGGAAATTAACAAAATATTTTCAAAAAAAAATTGAAATTAACAAAATAAATTCTATCTACACTTCCTGCGGAGTATTATACGGAGTAGAAAATTAGGAGCATATGTACACATAGATAAGCCGTTTCACTTGCTAAGTGTTCTTCATCCTTTGACAAACAAAATCCATCCACAAATTCAGACGTAGAACGGGATGAGAACAAAACGAGGACGGCTTTCGTTTCCGGGGCTGGACATTGCCGCAGATAAACCTGTCGTCAGGAAAAGAACTATAGCCGTTCCCATCGGAGAACCCGCCGCTGGCCGGAAAAGCCAGAGACATCAGTCAACGGGAAGGACCCCGAAAGTTGACTGCTTTGACTGCTTTCCGGGCGACATCGTCCTCTCTGTTCTCTCCAAGCTCTCTTCTTCTGCAGATTCATCTGCAGACTTCTTCTACGTTCTGATCACATACGATTGATTAATCTCATTCATTAATAAAGATTCAAAAAGATGGTTTTATTTTTTGTTTTTTTAATGATTCTTTGATTTGGGATTCGGATTGCAGATGCAAGAGATTCAACGGGTTAGGATTCCACCCAATAGTGTTATCCGCCGCTTCTCTGAAAATGCTGGCCGTCAAAGCTGCGAGCTGGACCGAGTCAAATCACCGGTTCCTCAAGCTCTGTTATGATGCCGGAAATGTCGAAGCTTGCTACATGCTGGGCATGGTCAGTTGACTCGGTCAACTGAATTAAAGAGCCATGTGATTAAAAGAAAAGGGATAGGCACGAACCTTAATCAAAAAATTTGTACGAACTATATGCACCTTGTGTATTTGGTCGAGATTTTGGCACGAACTTCACACGATTTTGGCACGGGTTTGGTCTTAAACATCATTTAAGAAAAATTAATTACCAAAGAATTTTATACATGTATCCTTAAGAAAATTTTGATGAATATATAAATCACCTGCATGCATCTTATGATTAATAATACAAAAAATTAATGGGCTTGGCACGAATCTTTATCATGGATTTTGCACGAACTATATGTATCAAAACGTATTTGGTAGAGATTATGGCACACATTTCACACGGTTTTGGCACGGGTTTGGTAATAAACATCATTTAAGAAAATTACCTACTAAAGAATATTATACTTGTGTTGCAAAAAAATATATATACTTGTATATTAAATACGAAGTATATTATGACCTAAATATCTAATCGATAACATCTTTGAATGAATAATTTTTATTCGTTCAATCGGGTCTATCTTTAGATGGAATAATTTTTATCGTTCAGGAGACTCTAAGGATATGGTGTTTTTACCTATGATGATAAGTTCTAAAGAAGACTAATACAAAAATACAAATGCATCTATTCAAATGCCATCATTGTTGTTTATTTATCCAAAAATACACTTTGACTTAACAAATGAAATTAACAAAATATTTTCAAAATATTTGAAATTAACAAAATAAATTTTACACTTCCTACAGAGTATTATACGGAGTAGAAAATTAGGAGCATATGTACACATATATAAGTCGTTTCACTTGCTAAGTGTTCTTCATCCCTTAGAAACAAAACCCATCCACATATTCAGAAGTAGAGCAGGATGAGAACAAACCGAGGACTACTTTCGTTTCCAGGAGTTAACGTTGTCGGAGATAAAAGGACTTTAAGAGTGGCGGAACTAGAAATTAATTTAAGTGGAGAACAATAGTATTACTAAATGTAAACCATCAAATTGTTAATAACATTATGGTAACAACTAACAAGCAATATCAAAACATATTTGGTAGAGATTTCGCACGAATGTCACACGGATGTGGCACGGATGTGGCAGTAAACATCATTTATGAAATATAATTACTAATGAATTTATACTTGTATTATTAAGAAATATTTGTTGTGAGTATATAAATAAATTATCAAGTTCCTAGAGCAACGCCGCCGCCAGGTAATTTCCGATTTCGATCTCCCTTGATCGAAGTTCGGTCTTGTTTCGGTAGTCTGGCCGCGGCTCGGTTGGTGTAACCG